GGAGTGTGCCGAAATGGGTGGTGGGGAGGAGGGAGGGGGGGGGGAGGAGGAGGAGGTGAGGAACGCGGGGCGCCGTCTCTTCAAAACGAGGACCCAACACCACAGGATGGTTGGGAAAACTATTGATATTATGAACACACTAGGCCACGCGGCAGGTCTAGGCTTCCACCCTTCGCCTCGGCGTGCCTCGCTATCCCCACTCTTGCGTGCGCATCTCACTGACGAGGCCGTGTCCTCGCACGACATCCAGCTGCCTGTAACGCGGCTGCAAGTGAACCCGAAGAGCAGCTTCCAGTTGTCGATCAGTGGGCCCAACTACCTGCGGTTGTGGGAGTACAATCCGAACGACAATCAGGAACGTGCCTTGCCTATGGGAATCCTGCTCTTGAGCCAGCTGCTTTCGCCATCCCAGTCTGTGCCAGCATGTTCGCCACATGTCCTGTCGCTAGTACCGTCGCGGGTAAGGAATCAGGCCGAGCCGCGATGAACCTGTCATGAAGCGTGCTGTTGTCGCTGCTGCCGACGCCGCTGCATGTCGCCGCCGCCATTGCCTCCGCCGCCGCCTCGCCCCTGCTGCTGCCAGATGAATGGTCGACATGCCTTCCTGCTAGAGCGAGACGTGCGCGCCAATTGCGAGGCGCTTGGCTGCCGCAGCCTACACGGGCCAGATTTGCGGACGAGGTTCGGGGCGCCACAGTGCGCGCAGCACTCATCGGGGGACCGCGGCAGAGGTGCCCGCGTATCGCAGCGCTTTCGAGAGGTCCGCCGTGCATGGCGGACTCTTTCATGGACCCTCCTGCCTCATCCTCCTCGTCCTCCGTCCTTCCTCCACCTCCCTCTCCACCACCTCCTTCTCCTGCTCCTGCTCCTGCTCCTGCTCCTTGCTCCTCTCTCTCCTCCTCCTCTTCCTCCTCCTCTCCTCCTCTTACCTCTCGTCCTCTCGTCTCTCGCCTTCTCCTCCTCCTCCTCCTCCTCCTCTCTCTTCCTCCTCGCCTCCTCCTCCTCCTCCTCCTCCTCCTCCTCCTCCTCCTCCCCCCTCTCCTCCTCCTCACTCTCCCTTCCTTCTCCTCCTTCTCCTCCTCCTCCTCCTCCTCCTCTCCCTCCCCCTCCTTCCTCCCCCCCCTCGAAACAAGGGGAGTATTCCGACACGCCCCTAGAGAACTGTCCCCCCTCCCCTTCCCCCTCCCCTTCCTCCTCTCCCCTCCCCCCTCTCCCTCCTGCTCCTCTTCCTCCTCCTCCTCTTCCCTTCTTCCCCTCCATTTCTCCCCCCCGCCTCCAGTCCACCTCCTCGTCCTCCTCCCCCTCCTCTTCTTTTCTGTTCCTCCTCCTCTTCCTCTTCTTCCTCCTCCTCCTGATTCTTATCTTCCTCCTCCTCCTTCTCCTCCTCCCCTTCCCCGCTCGTCCCCCGCCTTCCCTGGGCACAAGTTCCGCGACGCCAGGTCCGCGTCTTTCAAGGTTTCAGAGGGTCATGCTCGCGTCGGAAAGCTACATGCAGGTGCGCGCATTCCTCAGAGGGACATGGCGTCTTTGTTGCACCGAGTGCCCTTCGGGAACGGGCGGTCGCAACGAGATGCGAGCCTGTCTGGCTTCCTTGTGCACTGGCGGGAGGACCCCACAGGCCCATATCCTAGGGGCTCACCAGACCCTCCAGGCAGCCACCAGTGAGCCACGCGATTCCCGCCATGTGGAGGCCCATCCCGTGACTCGTGCGCTTTTCTTGGTGCCCCCGGATGGGGCGCTTTCGGCCCAGGAACGGGGGGGACGGCTTCGGGGACTGGCCCATGGACATGGACTCAGGCGTGTGGACTAGCGACGGGCCCCGCCACCGCACCCCTCGGCGCGCTCCGTCGCTAGGGCAGGCGCACGGCCCGCGGAACGGCGCCCGCGCACCCGCGGAATCTGCAGCCCGCGCCCGCGGTGCACCCGACGGGTGATGGCTGCCGGCGGCGCGGCGGCCCGGCGCATCCGCAGCCCACGCCGGCGGGCGCCCGCCCGGGGCGCGTGCGCCCCGCCAGAGCCGGCCGCCGCAGTTTGGGAGCGAGAGGGGTCGGCGCCACCCCAACATACCAAAGCTACGCGTGCGTCGCCCCACCGGGGGCGACGCGCGCGCCGAGCAATCTTCCAGCGTGTGCGTCGTCGCGGGCGCTCTCTGGCCGCCCCGCTCGGGGAACGATGTGTGCCATCATTTGGGTACAGTCGAGTTGGATTAGTAGGTCGACCCTGCCCATACAAGGGTACCCTCGTGTCCTGTTTCTCGCGACCCATGCCCCCTACGTTCCACCAGCTCTGTGGCCATCAGAAGAGTCTCGTGTCCTCTCGCGTGTCCTCTTCAATACACCCCGACTGTATTGCATGTTCGGGCCGGACGCGCGCCTCCGAGGAGGTCACGCAGTACCAGTCTGCCGTTCTGCGTCTGGGGGGGCCCCCGGCCCGCTTCTGCGGAGGCGGCGGCGGCGCCGCGCGCCCTTGGGTCCTCCGACTGCCTGACTTTGCTGCGCCC